TAAGCCTAGTCGTTTATTGTGAACGTATGGAACATTTACAGCATTTCAACTACTGAATGGGCAGAAAATCTACTTTTAAAGAACGGTTGGAAGTACAACATGCTATGAGGATCCTAAGCAGGAAACGACTTTCATGACAGTGACAATGTCACGAACAGGACAAGTCGTGATATAAATTAAACCTTTGGAACATATTACGAACTTCTACAATGGCTGAAAGCTTCATTGCAAGTGGGTGTTGATTCGTGTTCAACTAGAACGCCATTGAGGTTGATCGCCACCTCTAGGTCACCAAACTGAGAACCGGGAGCTCTCCATCTCGGTTTCGGTTGGGTGTAACTCTATGCCAACACAGTACGAATTATTTACGATTATTTAGTCTGTGAAGAAAGTAGCATAATAAAAATTGTAAAAATAACCGTACCAAAGTGTGGCAGCATTCGTGACCATCGAGTTAGCAGAATATATAGAGCAGTTCAGGTGCGAGCGGGCATGATTGAGAATTTGCCGGAGCTTGCTCGAGTCACCTGGAGAATAATTGGATTGTAGTTTATTTCACAGTTTTATGACGTAAGCTTTTGTGACATAGGCATTCTCAAGCGTTTTGAAGGGAGTTTTCAGAACTGTGCAATGATGGCACATCTGCAAGCAAACATCTCTGATCGAATCCCGGTGTCAATATCAAGTGAATCTTGGTGCCAACTGCTTTATCAACTATCAGCGAATCATCGGCAGAGAATATCGTATATCATTCATAGAAAAAGTATCAGCTATCATAATTGAATTATTCATAGACTGGTTTATTTAAATCGTTGCATTGGTCATACCCACTTCCATCGCTTCGACCAAACCATTAATAGAAAACGAATGCGGGGCAGAATTTCAACGGATTAGAATGAGATAGCAATCTCTTCTTGGGATGACAGTAGAACTTTATTTTTTCCATCTTCTAAAAAAATCCAACTACATAAACTTCAAAAATATGTCCTATACAAATTTTGCTGACCAATCCCTTAGTGGTACGCCTATGTATTCTCCTTCATCAAACATCGTTAGAGAGGGCTGAATACTTATCTGGCCTGTACTATGAATTGCGGGGCCTACCAATGTATCGAGTCAGTGCTTCCATCTTCCCAGACGATCTGGTGAGAAGGATAGAAAGCTTGTTGAGTTTGGGGAGAGCGAACCAAAGGCCAGGTGTGTATTGCAGACATTTCAAACCACCGCGTTGCGAGAACACCCTTGGAAAATAACGTCACGTAAAGTTTGTACATAAAAGCAACACTGTAGTTTGCCTAATTTGATGGGAAAAACATTCTTAATGGATAATTATTAGCAAATCGTTTCAAAGTTTAGCTAATCAAAACAGTTACTTTTCAATTTGGGAGTAAATCGCTGATCTTTTCAAAATGACTTTTTAAGCACTCGTCGGCCTTAGCTGAATGCTTGAATAGCTCATCTTCGCGATTCAAAAAAATTGCTGTTAGCGCAGTACAATTTTCATTTGGCCGGTAGATTTCTGTTTGGGCAGGAATGATTTCCTTTTTCCAGAGTCCTGAAGTTTTCAAACTTGTCACTACTTACCAGCTAATGGTTATCCTAATTCTAAGATTAGAAGAATCAGCTTCCGGCATTATGTTTTGAAATATATGGAAAACCTTATAAGCGAGGTTTTCGGAAAAACGATGATCTCACGAAACATCTTCTCTGAAATGTTTCCTGCTTGTGGGTGATCCGTTCCGACTGTACCCGGATCCTTACGATTAAACATCAGCATCAAACAGTGGTTTTTCGCTTGTTACGCAGTGATTAGTCTTGCGTATAATCCGTTGCTGGGATTTCGCGAGCGTAGTAGCCTGTTTTTCGCTTCTCCACTAAGCAGCATTCCACATGATTAATGCATATCGTCACAAGGCATAAATAGCAATGCCGGAAGTTCTTTTAGGGTGCCGACATTATACCGTACTCTTGTTAGGTTGTCCAATATCGGGCAGTTATTTTTCTACAACTGCGAAAATGCTGAGCGATTACTGTGAACACTACCCGTAAGGTGGTCGACCAACGTTTTCTTGTTTCGTCTTGCTCTTTGGAGTTTAAACACTTAGCCGATGTTAAATGAAATCGGAATTGTTAATGATATGACTAGAAGCGTCGTCAGATCGGCGAAAAGAACTGCACATCGGTCCGTTTAAGTGTGCAAGAGTCTCCTGGAACAACCAATACACAATGGGTAGTAGACATGTTTGTGAGTAAAATTAACCAGTTCTACGTTGAGCTGCAAATGTTCTGCAGATCACAGTATGATACTCACAAATCACCACCGCACTCGAATAAGCCACCACTACTGACGACGATTGTGAAACAAAGAAAAAAAATGGGACGTGTTCTGGACTACGCATTACTTGAGTGCTCGTCCATTGAATCTTTCCATCTAATAAGGCCTACCTGAAACACTGATAAAAAGCAGTCGCCTTTCAAAGTTCGGCACTGTTATTTCCCTCATGGAACCTCCGTATCAGCGTTAAAAGTCGTCGTACCTCTGAGCTCTTTCCATCAACAACTTCTGCAGGCTCGACCAAAGAGTGTGCATGAGATTTCAGAGTCAACGAAATGGTGCTCAAACTTTTACTAGCATGGTTTTGCTTCTTTTCGGAGAAAACCACACATTCATTCTTTAAGGTTATTATTGGAGATTTTAAATCAAAGAATGAACCCAATAGAGAGTTATAGAACATCACATTTGGAGCCACAAAATAGAAATTATGGAAACTCGCAGTTTCAGAAGCCTCACTGTCAGCGCTGGACGTAGAAGTCTTCCAATAAAGAGTGCCATAACGAAGGAGTAGATCAAGACTAGACTACATCATAGTAGATCAAAGGTTTAGTTTAACTGATGTCTCTGTTGCCCCAAAATTATACGCGAAACGAAACCATCGCTCTTCCGTGCAAGATCCAGTTCATAGCGGGATGAAGAGAAGCCACTAAGTTAAAAAACGAAATCCCGATACAAGAATTAATTTGGCTTTATTCAGCTCATTAACCGGCTCTTCTGAAGATACCGTTATTTATAACACAGACGAGGAATACGATCAGCTCATTCAATAACTTCGCGTTACCGTTACGAAAGCTGAGAGTTCAAAAGTCACCGAGAGATGAATGTGTCCAGAAACACTTGAGGTGAACTTGAAACAGTAAGAAGTCGACAAAAAACGCTAAAAATGGAAAAGCAGAAATTATGGTCGAAGCAGCAAAAGCTCTGGGTAAAGCCTTGACAAAGCCCACCGAAACACTGCCAACTTCAAGAATAAAATCATGCATTAGGATGCTCAGACCGAGCCGTTACAGCTTCCAGAAGAGCAATAGAGAAAATCATTTACTATCATTGTTCGGATTTCCTTAATAGCTACATCCTCCTACTCTCGTACGAAATAAATCTTACGGATATCTCGTAGTACCGGTTTCCTTTTCCGAAATCCTGCACGTTATTTCGTCGGTGAAGAGTTGCACAGCACTAAGTTATAACAGGATAAGTTCTGAACACCTGGAGAACATTCTACCAGTCATAACAAGCACACTGGCTCGACTCTTCACGCGTTACCTGTCAGAATTCAAGGTTCGTACTTAGCGGAAGACCATTAAGGCCATGACATTGTTCAACAAGGCTAACCTCCACGATATCGCCAACTATCGTTCAAGTTGTTTACTTTGAGAAGGTTCCAACCTAGTGGAAGGCCTGGCCAGTGGAAAACTAGCGGATAAAGTGCGTATGGTCGTTGTTTTTCACGAAAAGTCTAGAATTAAGTGCCTGGAGTGAGCAGAGTCCACTGGGCTACTCTTGCACGGCACAAGGAGAAATGAAAGATTTACTGACGTCAACATGTGTCAAGTGACCCTCAACGCGAGGACGGATAATACGGGCAATGCATGTACTCCAAAAGTTTTTTTTCTAGAAGCTTTTGTTTCAGTAAATAATTTTCAGGCAAGCTGAACACTGCGTGAATGCGGGATGTTTGCACGGAAAGTGTTCATTCCTCGTGACGGTCGTTGCTTCATGAATACACTTTTCAACACATTGTTTAAGGTGAACATAGAGTTAATTTGTTTACTGAGTGACACTTTGCCAGTGTGTTATTCGGTGTAATCAGACATGTAGACGTAGTCACCACTTGTTCAAAAATAATTCACAGGTGGTTCTTTTGGAACAAGATTCGGCGATGATTAGGAGTAGTCCAATAGTGTATTGAAGGGTAGGAAGCCTTTTCACCTCCCACTGGACCATGTGTATGCATCCCATCATGGGGGAGATATTGTTTTAAATCTAGACATCCCAGTGCGATCTGCTGCGATCCGTTTAGTGATTTATTCTCGAGACTATTATTGAGCTGAGATTCTGATGAAAAAGTGGTCAGCGTAGAATGGCAAACAGAGTAGTCTACAAATGGCCCCGATGAACACATCGATTCCTGGACATTCAGTTTCATTAGAAATATTTCAATTTGAACGGCATTGTTTACGATGGTGAGAAAGATGATATCCATACAATAATAATCCCCTATGAGAGAAATCATCCATCTGCTGAGTGCCGGCTCGTAGACCTTGTCATCCCACTGTAAATTCTTCCTAACATTTACTGGTACGTGGGCGTCAAATTACATATTGTACTGGTATTACTGTCACACGTTATTAGAAGGAATTTTTATGTTGGATAGCAGCGAAGTTTTGATGATAGGGATAAAGTGACCAATATTTAGCTGGATCATGAAAATGAAGGGTGGAAAATGGACCCGTTTCCAAAGGCCCATTCACGCACAATAGAAGGAACATTTCTGTATGACTAATCCCTGCATATTTTATCAGGATATTAAATTGTGGAAAAGCTTAGCTCCTTAGTTTATCAGGAAGTTAATTCGTGTAGATGATCAGTCAGCAAGATCATAGAACGTAGTATAATGGAATGTGAACAGAAGCTGCTCTATCTGAAATCCTTGAGAGGTACGAAATCAGTGGCCCTCTGAGACGAGCTTGTCGTATGCATCGAGCGTAAGGAAGTCACTCATGGTTTCTTCGAGGGCAAACTTCTCCAGAAGTTCAGCAGCTTCAGGAAGCCTAAAAATATCGCAAAATAAAAATCACATTCGAAAAGTGGGTTTGGTAGGATCACACTAGGTGATAGATACAGTGGAAATAAAGGCTGCTGTTTAAAATTGGACCAATCCTCAATAGGGAAGCTAATAAATTCTAAATGATTCTCCATCACCGTCCATATTATGCGGACAGCTAAAAAATCCCAAAAATGCATAATTTCTTATCTATTAGGTTTTTATCAAAAGATAATGGTTTTTTGTTAACTTTTTTATTTACTGGCTATAACAATTTTTTCACGATTTTTTTCTCGTACGTTCGCATCGATTTTTGATGTGCGATGGTGCAGTCATCAACCATATGCGACTATAATCAGCTGTTCCAAACTTCCTCATTGGAAGTCACGAAAAAGCGGTGGGTTTTTCGAGAAGTTGTTGATTGTGTAATTGCCGGAGAGTTCCTCGTCTTTTTGTAAGTGTTATTGAAGCGTTTGGCCTAGTAGATTGTATATCAGTATACCCTTCCAGGCTCTGAAGAAGGCGATACTGCCGAAACGTCAGCTAGCGTTGTATTGTATTGTGTTTTCTTTATGGAAGTAAATGTATGCTGTTTAAAAACCTCGCGATTGCTGAGCAAGAAAACGACACATTCACGATTTTTTGTTTAAAATGGATAGGTCACTCTTTCGCTAGCCAATTTCACGGATTACCTCCACCTTGTCAGAACGTGTCTGAAATCTAGTACTTCTTTTAGCAAAAGGAAACAGATTGAGATGGAGAAGGTTTAGAACGAAAGCGAAATGTTACTACTGCACGTGGTTGGTTTCGAGGCGCAGATTGCTTTGACCGCGATTTTTTAAGGCTTATGGAGTACATGACTACAGCTCAAACCTTTTCACTGTTGTCATAACAAACTGAATAGAAAACGACTGTGTTAACTTCATCAGTGCTCAATCAGTCTCCTACTTGTTGACAACGGATCCAGCTCTAATAAGACGTCGCTCGGTTTCCGCTGCAATTGTCTGCTTCACGAGTTGAGCGTCGATGGTTCGCCCATCTGAAAACAACACTTTGGATATTCATTTGATATTTTGGCCTTAAATTATGATAAAGTATGATAGCAGTGCCGCACGACTATAAATGAAGAAGAGAAAATATATAATAGACTATTATAGATAAATATTTCTTGCCTTTACTAAGTGCCCTGCAGCCACTTTACGTTGATCAAAAATTATGTACAACCACAATGATGTTAAGATATTCGCAAAATATGGAGTCCAGGCCAAATTTGCACCATCGATTACCCTTTCCGAGAGCTCACGTTTTACCCACTGCACCAATGAAACTCTCGCTTTTATCCCAAAGGTGACACCAGCAATCATCAGTCAATGGGAATGATCTGAGGAGCGTAAATCGGTGGTAAACCCAGTTAAGCTGAGGCTCAGTCGAAATAACAATGTTTAACTCTTGAGCCCCCGAAAAGCGTGATTGCAGGTTCGAATTTGCCCTGGGGTCCAAGTTTTACAAATATGACAGTATCATTGCGTCTGTATTTCACATAAAACGCTGTCGTGAAAAGAAATCAGCAGTGAATAAAAGGTTAAACATTGCAACATGCAAATAGCTTTTTTTTCATTTTGAGTGCGTTAAATTTACAAACCTTCCAATTTAGCATCATGTCGAAGCCATTGCCAAAGTTGAGCACGACTTATTTCGGCGGTAGCTGCATCTTCCATTAGGTTGTACAGTGGAACACAACCGATTCCACGAAGCCAGGAGTCGAGGTAACCTAGAAACCACTCTTTTCTTAGTTGGTCCAGCAAGGTAGATATGGTAACTGGGTTTTAAAACGTGACTGAAAATTTGTGCTACTATACGAATGGCTCTACAGAGCTGGACAAGTTCGTGCTAAAAAACTGCAAATGTAGCTAAATTGCGTGGTAGAAAAATGAAACGAACCAAGAGTAATGTTAATATTATGACGGAAACCGTTCTCGGTACGGGTACCTTCAGGAATCGCTGTCAACTCCGCATTGGTCACCATGAGTTTCTCCAGCTGAACGATACTTGCTACGCTACCTTACTTAAAGAATAATTAATATTTATCTCAGGACCTGTTTTTGAATCTGATTCGGTGTCGGCATACATTTGTCGAAGACATTACGAGCGATCGGCACCAGACCAGGATGAGCGACCCATGTACCATCATGGCCTGCATGCGAACGCATTCGGAAGGATGTCTAGATATGAATACTGGAAAGTCTTTCTTACTGACCGTCGTTGGCTTCGCGTTCCTTGTCTTGTTGAACAAGTGCCAATGCTTTGGTGTTTGCTACCTGTAAAAGCACAGCTTGGTGATTCTTATCAAAACCAGCATGAACTTCTTGGACCACTTCCACTCTGGGTCAATCTAAGGTGCTCCAAAAATAAGAAGAATAATTGCAAGAAACCATTACAAATCATGCTATGTCAAAGTGCTTAACGCCTTTTTTCTGAAGTTTCTTCTCCATAGATTCACAGCGATGACAAATCGATCATTAACAGGGTTTGTCACCCATCCACTATTTGCTCATTTCGAGCCTTGTTTAGCCACTTGTTTTGCCTTTCCGATTATTCTTAAATGAATAACTGCAAATGCTCCTTCATTCGTATTAGTGAATGATGTGCATACGTCGTCGTTCTTTATAGGAATCTGAGCAGCCATTCCACCCATGGCGTGGATTCCTCGTTGATGACACGTTTGAATGCAGAGAAGAGAATAGGCACGCATGAAGGGGGCAGTCATACCTAAGCGTAACAAAATTAATTATACGAGCTCTGTGAAGCCTCAACTACAGTATAAAATGCGTTGATCTTAGTTCTAATGGTCTTCTTGTTCTTGGTAAGTTTTTTCAGTACTTTTTTATTGAAAATGTAACTGTTCATGTCGATGACCCATTGCGTGGGAAGTATCGCAGAAAACTCCTACCTATCTGGAATCGATCGGGTAGCAGATATTTTCGATGATTTTGGAACGTCTTAATGTACGAGAAGATGTAGTCCCATCGTCCACAGTTCAACCCCACAATGTAGTCTTTGAGACCGTAGATGATTTCATTCATCTGGAACCTTTTAAGCAGAATCGTTGGACTTTAAATTTGCACAAGTTCTTATTTTTCTCCCGAGAACTTCACGACAGGAAGAACCACCCCTGTTTTCGAAAATTACTTTGGGACTACTATATTCTTCTAAGGTTGAGAAAGCACTCTTTGTCGTGTCCCGACTGGAAAAATTTTCTCACCATGTAAGAAAACGAGTTTCGAATTTCTAAAGAAAGTTGGTTTTTTCGTCCTATAACTTCCGCTTCTGCTTTTGATACAGTTTTACTACAAAGCTTACCTGGAAACTGGCTAGCAAGTGTTCGATGAGTACCGTACATTTGATCGTTCCCTTAGACAAACCGAGCCTTTCCTCCGAATATGCGAATACGTCGGCCCACAGCTTTGCCTCTTCGGCACTTTGCAGTTTGGGAAGATAGAAATAGGGACCACTTCCTTTCTTTAGCAGAACCTGCAAACATACTTGAAATGCTTAGAATACGATATTCAGGGTGCGTGAAATCCTTAGGGGAGGGTATGAACAATCTAAGTATAAGTGATATTCTCCCCGATCTTCTGAAAACCCACGGATCAGAGAACCATTTCTCAAAATGTTTTCCTTTTCTCTCTTTTCTTCTTTCCTCTAATCGAGGTAAGTATTATCGTGCATCCTTTTTTCCCTACAATTATCTTATAATAAACAGTAGTTGACATAGAACAAAAATACGTCGAACTATCAAAACTCAAAAATCAAAGATGAAACGGGAAAAACTATGAAGCAGTCTCGTGATCCGTCGGCAAAAGATTTCTTTGCAGAAACTGCGCTACTAATGAATTCATGGCAGAATCGCACTTTAGTGTTTTGAGTATATTCGAACCCATAGACTTATTTGTGCTCCCAGTTAACTATAAGTCTATCCAGAATTATTCTTCCAGGTTTTACCTTAGCGTTATGGTAGACGAACAGACCGAAGTCGAACAACGAGCCAGATGTTGGCTTATTGTGGATTAGTACATGCTTTTCAGGAAGATGCCAACCTCTTGGGCGAACTAATAGCACTGAAATTACGGGCATTATGCCCGTTCTCCTTGCTCGGGAACTCTCTAGCACATTACCAGCAACGCTTTTATTCAATTTGTACTCCTTCTTCGTCGATGAGTGCACATATGAAATATTGTTCCGCACTGCATCGTAAAGATTGATTTGACCATCCAGTTGATTTCTCCACGAAGGTGTGTTCGAGTCCTCGAAATCGGCCATGAAGACCTAAAAGACTTCCAAGCTTCCCACGATAATAACCAATCAACCGTTCATAAATCTCTTTCCCTGCTCATAGTTCATTAAAAGCCATAACTCAAACATACGTTGGCTCCCGAGTTGAGCGCATTGATGATCATCTTTCGATCGGTCGGTCCGGTAATTTCTACTCGACGGTCCTAGAACGACTACTCTATCAAGGAGAAGTAAAGTAGAAAATTCATGAATGTTTCCAAAAAATTAAACGAGGTTTGGAAATTCTACTATTTCCACTATTTTTCGGTTTTTTTTACCACTAAACATTATTGGCTACGAGGTTACGAAGCAAAGAAGATTAGAACATATTGCAAATGGGATAATAAATAGAAGGAATATTATGAACGGAAGCATAAATATAAACAATTCTGAGTTATCAAAGACACCTGACAAAAAGGCAACAAAAACCACTCTGCTTCGATTAGGTTGAACAATACTCGCATCATACCTGAAGATCATGTGGTATTTCAGCTCCTCGCCATCCTTTGTCCTCTCGGATATCAGCCGTGGCCGCGGAGAAGTCCGGAAACCAGGAACCCTCGTTGATCTCTGGAAAAGAATCAGGTATCTTGGATCGCAAATACGATTATTCATATTTAATTAGGCAACCACAGGTGTCGCCCAACTAAGTGATAATAATAAATTGTGGTTGCGTATACAACTTGAGTATACAATAGTGCTCAGAGGTGCCTATAATGCACACGTGGTTTTTGGTCCGGTCCCACTCTTCGGGCAAATGAAGCTCTGCTCCCTTCTAAGATCTAAAAATTGGTACCAGAGTTATCTGGAAGGATAAAAATGCAGATTTTACGTATAGATAGGCCTCGGTAACCACCGTATAGGCTAGGTATGCATTCAACCACCTTTGCAGAGTGGAACGTATTGTTCATCCCTGAGGGAATGATCATCGTCGAACGCTTTACTCTTTGCCCTTTATCTTTCATACAACTTATTTAGTTTAATAACCCGAACAGTTTCGTCAATCTAGACGATATCGATTTGGGGAGGAAATATTTGAATCTGCCACGTTTGAATGCAAAAAGGACTTTGACTTCTTCACATTCACCATGCTGTACTTGTACTCGCTTATTCAGCAATTGTAGCCGCCTGTCGTCGAACTGCTTGTTCAGTTCCTTTATGAAACGCAGCGCGTCCGGCGTCAGAATTGTCTCATCTCCATCCATAGTTTGTGCAGTCAACTGCAAACCATCGCATTATCTGTTGAACGTTTAACGAGTACATCTTATAGATGAGTCGATCACCAAGGACTTTACAAGAAAATTTAATCATCACTTCACGTATGAAACCTATTTTACATCCACTATGATGCTGAAATGTTTACAAAACTCCGGACTGGTGGTGTCTGCGGCGAAGAACGAACGCGCTATTACACTTTCCAGGGGCTACTGCATTCACCACCACACCATGCGAGTCCTTCGCTTCGTTTATGAAATTACAATAGGCAGTAAATAAAAAGTTAACAATGCTATTTTACATGTTTTCGCATTTATGTTAGGCTGTTTGTCAGCTTTTATCAATTGAAACTGTGTAAAGTTGCACTCAACAAATTGAAGGCTCGTAAGATTTCCGATTTGATTATTACGTTAATACACTTATTGCAGCTTTATTGATTGGAAAAAGAGTATTTTCCTGCTGACCAAAAACCGATGAGACATTCATTAAATCAGGACTCTGTAGTTTCCCTTGGTGTTTAGAATTTAAATCAACTTTTGTTTTTCTCCCTGTTTCGTCTCTTTTTGCTACTCTTACCGTGAGAATCTCTTCGTCCGCACTACTAGCAGTTTCCGTCCGGAATTGTGCCTCTTCGGTGGATCCACTGAGCGCTGTCGTACTTGACTGGCCACCAGTAACCGCGTTTGAAATGTGGTCAAAGTAACCGGTACCGACTTCCCGTTGGTGTTTTACTGCCGAGTAACCGTGACTGAAAAGAACTACATTCTTTGATGGCGATCCGATTACTTCGTGGATGTTTTCAACCCTCTTGAACGGAGTTTGTTTGATGAAATCCCGAGTAAATTACTTCCTTATCAAAACGATCTATGCGTATTATGGCTAACATACGACCATATGAGAGCTAAACCAAACTTGTTTGTCTTCTCTGAATCCGAGTGATAGCGAAAGGCTTGAGATAACCACAGAAATCACAGTCAACTAGTTTGCTGACGGTATGCGTCTTACCGTTCCGATTCGAATTCCAACTCTTGCAACATCGAATAGGCCAACATTCCCGTTTGTTTGTAGTTCCTAGCCAAGTCAAATATGCTGAAGCTGTTTGAATGGAATCCGGCAAGTGTGATAAATTGGTATTTGAAGCCGAGCGCTCCCAGCTCCTTTAAGCAGTACTTTCAATAATGAAAACTCTCTAGGAATAAAATTCATGACATACAACCATATACAGATTGAGAACACCGTGGTTTTCCTAGAATCCTTTAAATCCTAATCTAGGATTACGTATGTTAAATTAGTCGTTAGTATTGGTCATAGATGAAACAGGACTACTTGTTCCTTATTTTTTTCATTCTACCGTTGTAAGTTCTTTTTACTCTAAGGCACCTTCTGAAATTTCTCCAATTGAGCCGTGCTGAGATGTTTCTTCCAGTTGAATGATGGAGAGCAGTTGTAGGCGAACATTTTGTCCGGATAAACCTGAACCTTAGAAAATATTCCTTTATTTCCTTCCAAGAGTGCCTTCAGCCAGGCACTACTTGTTTTTTCTAACCTTACGAACTCCTTCGGCGAATTCTTTAGCGTCGGCGATGGTTGGATGGCTCGTCTCCATCCATATCAGGTCACAATATGGAGCATAATTGATTGCACGAGCAATACAGTACTGCAGTGCCATCGAATCTTTTAGCCTGAAAGTATAGGATATTCTGGTACTTACAATTTATATATTTCCATGGCTGAAGGAAAGGAATCTCTGGAGTACAAAGCTTAAACGGTTCGACGTTGATGAATCACTTATGTATTCGACTTCATTGGAAATCCTAGAGGTAGATGAATGCACATTTAGCATGAAAAATTGTTTATGAATGTCTGCGATGCACTTAGTCACTGTCTTTCTTCTCCCAGGTGCAGAGCTTATCTCGTCCCAAGAAAGACTAATAGACTCAAGGGAACTCATAGCATCATGGACCGTATGAGCATTACAGACCAACTTTGGCTACTGTGCTGTTGGAGACCAAAAGCTCAGCAAATCATTCACAAAACACAATCCCCTTAATGTCTACACTGATTTCCTAAGCAACAGCTGCTAGGTACAAGATTTTCCATTGCTCTTTTCTAAGCTTCTGCGTCGAATCCTGACAGATTTTGATCTTGCTGCTGAGTCCCTTCAAGTACAATGTTTCTTTCTGAATATCGTTATTGCATTTAGATTTATCGTAACAGAAACAGTGTCGACCACTGATTGATAAGAGCAGAAGACAACATTACCAAGTGGTAACTGCTAAGTGGTTCTTATACCAAGAAAAGCAAAAAAACGTATACGAATGAAGGTCTGCTTCTTCTGGATAAATCCTCATTTTTAAAATTGATGGGCATCCCAAATAAACAACTTTGATTTCAATCCACTAACACACTAAGATAAGTTATCGTTAGTTATCTGATAACAATAACATGTCCACCGTATTTGCTTGGTTCTTATTTATATGATCTTGTACTGCGTCCATACTTGAATTCAGTTTACCTATGAAAACCTTCTATGGTTCTTCCGGCTTCTCTGTCAATGAATGGATGATCTCGTTCGTCAACATCACTGAAAATCGAAAAGTCGAAATCATGTTTTAAACTAATATTTCTCTATTTATTTGCTTGGTTTCTTTAAAGAAATTTGTTGAATCCAAATTTACCGCCTCATTACAGCCCATGAATGTGATGGTCACTTTGGTGGTCCAGCATCTAAGATCCTCTAACGAGGTGAACCTAATCATCTTTCTTGTCAGGCAAATTACAAAACTCGTACAACATGGGGTTATTCGGTGAAGGGTTCTTATTTTCGCAGAAATCATTGAAATTGCTCAGAAATGGAAATTGAACCGCGGTTGAATTCGGTGAGCAGCACCTGGTGAGTAGCCGGCTGGACTCAGCATCGGTCCTGGCGACGATGATTGTCGGCGTTCCACAGACGTCAGCAGCAAGGCGCGCAGCATTCAGATGACGAATATGTTGTGCCGTTGGAATAAGAACCTTTAAGTGTTATATTTAAATTGCTCCTGAATGGGGCCGCTGGTATTTTAGAGTTTCGTTCTTTAACGGAAATTTTAAACATCTAAAATTTTGTCACAAAACCCAGCTTATTAATATCTCGTCGATTCTTTTATAAATCCTTACTTCGTACTTCGTTACTCCTATCTACACGGATCAACCCCACATGGGACATCTCGTGCCGATCGCTGGAAGTGCTGCACATCTAATCATTACGTTGAAGATAAATGGCGGACCGTGAACCAAAAGCGACCTTGTACTTACCCATGAGAACGCTGCTCGATTGCGGCAGCAATATAACCGGCGCTCTCAATATGTAGCAGCAATGCGAAACTCTGACCTTCGAAATCTGTCACATCTTTGGGATCCAGGAGAATATACATCGATAGCGAAACATAGATGGGCCGGTCACATAATGAGAAGAACAGACGACAGATGGATGAAAAGAACAGTAGAGTGGACTCCAAGAGAATGCAAACGTCCCCTTGTACGACCACCTACACGTTGGGCGGACGTGTTCGTAAACAAAGTTAATCAGCTGTACCCGCAGCTGCAGTTGTTTTACAGATCACCGCATGAGACTCGCAGGCGCTGCCATGCTCGAACAGGACCACCACCATGGACCACGATTGCGAGGGAAAGGAACGACTGGCATATGTGCTGGGGTCCGCACAGCTCGTGAAGACGGACCGTCCAAGTATCCAAGTACTTCGTACTTCGTTAATGCTATCCACACGGGTCAACCCCGCATGAGACATCTCGTGCCGATCGCTAGCAATGCTACACATCTAATCACTAGGCCGAAGATAAATGGCCGACTGTGAACCAAAAGCGACCTTGTGCTTGCCCATAGGGATGCCGCTCGATTCAGAAGATCGGATCCCTCTTCAGCTAGCTCACCGTGGTCTAGTACATAATATTTTATGGAAGTCTTCAGATTATCTCTAGTGAAGGTGATGAGCAAATAGTGTCGTTAAATGAACACAACCGTAAAATCTCCAAAACTGCATACTTTTCCACCCATGTGGCCGCATTTCTTTTCTGATCCCAACTGATCCTCAAAATGAACTCCTGCCGCTCCGGCTTCGATGTAGGCCTGAAATTAGCAGATTTTGCTCAGGATTCAGTAACCATTCGATAAGATCGAAATATCTCATTTGCTTTATTTTCAATGCTTTCCGTCTATATGGTTTCACTACGCTAATATCGTTGAGTTCAAAGTTTAAACCGTAGTAGTGTTATATACTGAGTCAACAGATCTGTTCAAATGTGTAATATCGTTGACGGGGTGGAATCACACGCACCGACACAGGCATCTTTACTAGTGGCTATATAGCGGCTTATCGCTCACTCACATCTTATAAAGGATTTCAGTAAGGTTTCACGTCTACAAGATGTTTTCGAGAATCAATCGGTCAGATTTTGAATAGAAAAATAACTTATGGTGTGAATAAATAACTATATAAGCAGCTGAATGAGCAAGTAAGGTCTTGTGTAAATTTCCTTACTTTCACCCCACCTCTCCAATGCTTTGTTCGAACGAGGCCAATATTTTTATCACATGACGACGCTATGTAAAGTGGTAGTGTTCTGCTGCACGGAGTGGTGTCAACAAACTCGATTACGTGGTACAAAGTACGCGCCGAATTGCAAATAGTTTATGATCAGGCGTTTTGAAGGGCATCGAAACTAGAGCTAAAGTAGGAAGGTGACGGCAGCTATTAGAGATAATTCGCTTGAATGTGATGTACTAAGATGTTTAAGATAGAATTGTTCGCTGAGATGAAAAAGGACAATATATGTCGAAAGATTACATAGTTCTCCAAGTAGTAACCTGTATGTGTTCACCTTCATTAATTCGAAACAGTTCAACGCGCCTCCGAAGCCGGCTTCAGCGTCGGCGACGATCGGTGCGTACCAGTCCCTCTGAGCCATGTAGTCCTCAGCTTCAACAGCGTCCACCTGAAGAAGATCAATGTGACAACGGTAAAACGGATTTCATCATGGAGAAACTCTCTACTTCTATGTTTACTAGTAAAATGAGTTGCACAATGATAGCATATATTTTCCGCTTCGGAAAAATATAACTGCAAACGTACAACACGTTGGTACACAGAATGCAAAATTGATCGCATGGTATTTGACAGTGAAAAAAGATCCAAACACTTGAAATTAACTATGCTCCGTGAAACCCCTATTCTGAGCACTTCATACGATAGGAGCAAAGATATGCGTAAACTAATGAGCTTGCAAAATCTTCCGCTTCTTTCCAAAAATACCTGATCAGCCCTTCTAAGTGATCTATTAATCCGTCTACATAATTCAGGTCCTGAATTAGCGGGATACAGCGATTGGTCTGGGTACATGTCGCCGGCCGTGTTGCCGTCAGCAGCAACTTGCCAGCCTAAAATCTCCTGTACTTATATACGTGATTTTGTATGGCTACGAAGTTGTTTTTAGAACTTGTTAAATCTAGAAAGGCACAATAGCGACTAGTATTCACTTCTCCACTTGGTACTTTAGTGGTTTCTGCAAAAATTTCACTTAATTGTATAATCTATTCTTCTTATAAACGTCATAATAAGCTACAGCACTAATGATCTAGGTAACAATATCTGGGGGCTTTCCTGAGGTATCGATCGAATAGCTTGCAAAAACGTACGCTCGTACCAGAAATCCCCGTTAATCCGTACCTGATAAGTAAATAGCTTTTAAGCCAGCTCGGACCATTTGCACGGCTTGATTTCCAGTTTGAGCTCCTAGTGCTGGAACAAACGGCTCCGTGTGCAGCAGTTGCCATAGCTGTAAGGTGAGCATTTGGAATATATAAATACCTTTACGCAGAGAAACACCATCTGCTAAAGAAATTGCACGAAGAATCTGGAGTATTCCACTAGAAAAGCTAACCTTGTTTGCGCCACGAGTGGCTAGAGTGTACTCTATTTCAATAGAACCTCGTAATTTCAGTACATCTTCAACCTTTAAAAAGAACCATTTTATTATCCGAAAATGAGAGATTGTGCAACGGTAAGGTTGAGGAACCTGGTAGTCTCGTTTGAGTCCTTGAAATCGACCTTTAGGTGCAGATTTGACGATCTGAACAAGGATCTCACTTAGCTGAAGTCGACATTGAAAAACTAAGTTTAATAAAAAAGATAAAAAGTGCTAAGATATAGCAGATATGGAAAGATGGATAGATATAGTAGATATAGATAAATGGCGGTCGGTTTGAAAACTGCACTGCTAAGATAGTTTGATTCATAGTTCGTTTCGAAATTTATTAGAACCAAATTTCTATGTCAGTGAAAATGTTAGCATTGGTTTAACGCCAGGGTTCATAACCACTGAAGAAGTATGATTAGAGAGAGAAAAAATGATTTTATGCTACGCTAAAAGCCCAAGCATACACAGGAAGGTTATATAATTTAGACTTATTCAGCAGGCAAAATGTTCATGGATAACTCCACAACAAATAAATGCGTAGAGGAAGGAGAAACTTCATGTGACAAACGTAAAGAGATTCGCGAGTTAGGTAAGTTATCGATATTGTGATGTAAAAGGCACCTGATACCAGTTTTTTGCTACTGCCTGCGCCATGAATTGTTGTTGAGAATAGTAGTAGATAACATAGGAACGCCCCAGATCATTAGCCTTTTATGCGGGGCCACACCTCTCTCTCAGTAACGAACAAAGTGGGGCGTTCATGTCGGCGCTACATCAGGTATCAAAACCCGGGAGTCCCGCCTTAGGCAAAGCGCCAGCCAATAATATTGCTTCAGGTAGACACATGGCACTTTTACAGCATTTCCAAACGCTCTAGAAACCAAGTGCTCATCATGAGATCTGAGGACCTTCAGTAATATTCGCCAGCGTTGGAAGAGATACTGGCTGAACTGCTAATCGTCTCCTGCATTCGTTTTTATGCTCCCATTGAAGTTTTTATTACGTCTGATGTATGCTTTTGGTTTTCTAGATACCACTCGAAATTAGGCCACACTTTTTTGCATTTTTCTCTGTTTCATTTTGTTCTCATTTCCTATTCCGTAAATAATAGTTTTGCCAGCACTTCTTCATAGGGAAATAGCCTTAAAAATATAGTAAAAACTCAAGGAACCAAAGCTAAATGGATGAACGAGTGTCGCTCATTTCATGGAGTCTAGTGAGATTTTACTTGTGATAAAGGAACTTCGAACCATTGATAAGATTGGCTCGATAGTTGGTAATTCAATTGCTCGTTACAGTATTGGAAATTTACATCTGTTTAGAAAACATCAAAAGAGTAAAGAAGCATGAGCATTTAATAGAAGAAGTTTGAGAGCAGAAACTCTAGGAAAAAGCACTTCATGCAAAAATAGTTACGGTGTTCCCTGGCGCTAATAATAGTATAAATAAAGTTAGTTTTTACACTGTTTAATAGTTCGCTTAATAAATATAGCCATTTTCACGGGCGAAATGAAGGACACGCATGCTGTGGTGGTGAAGGCGCTAGCCCTCGTAAAGGTTAATAGTGCGTTCGTTCCTCACCGCATACAGTTGCGGTCCGGAGTTTTGCAAATATCTCAGCATCATTGTGGTTGTGTTTCGCAAAAATTATAGTAGGCAGCAAATAAAAAGTTACCATGACCATTTTATTTCTTCGGATCCTGACCTATTTTTACCTATACCGTATTTGTTTTTCATGAGGTGTATTTCTCAGCATTATGAGGAGGTAGTACAGTGATAATGATGTCGATCATCACAAATACGGTGTTACTTCGATTCCACTTGGGGCTCATCAAGTCTCTTATCCCTCAGTGGTAGGGAAATTGGTAACGAAGTTGTCTAGAAGAACTTCACTCTTTTCAATCCAAGTGGGAACGTTCTAGCCCGGCTTTCTCAAAATTCCAGGGAGAGTCGACTCGACCGAGCATTCAACGATTTTTGTAATGAAAGGAAAACTCTCAAGCAAAAACCGAAGCTACACGTAGAAAGCTGAAAGACGTTCGTGGATGATGGTTGCGAGGGAACGAATCGAATGCGTGAAGTGCTGTGAAACGATCTGTAAATGGGTCGTGTAAGAAAAATTTCTGAGCAGCATGAGACTCCCACTTGGTATCCCACTTCTCTCGACTCAATCTAATGTGGATGGGAAATTTGGTAACGAAAAACAGCTTTTAGTAGCCTTGTTAACTATTTTAGATCTAATTTAACCATTGCACTCTTATTCCTTGGAGTTATATTTAGACAAATCCCTAAATGCGTCATGTCGATCGTTTACATTCCGTGATTTTGAAACACGGCAAGAACTTTGCCCAGCACTAATTTTGGTGTTCATTTCTTTGTTTGTTTAGAGAAAATGACCCCCACGTGGCCTTTATAGCAACTATTCCCAGAATAGTTTCTATTTCCTTCTACTACTGCATGTTTCTGTAGTAAGGATCATATCCACTGTTTCTCAAGTTGCCTAGCAAATGTCGTGCTACGTAAATATTTTGATCCCATCCTAAGGAACTTCGATCGCTATAAACAGTCTTGTTATGCAAACTTATTTTTGCAATCTGAAGTTGTTGTTTGTTATTACTGTCCAAAAGTAATCATGCGTGCAATAACAAGAAGGGCATGAGGATGTTTGCGAGAGCAGTCCTCCGCCAGCTGATCTCTGGTTTTGAAAGGATTTGGAAACGGTAGCCGACGACTGTTTTCGGTAAAGATGCTGGACCTGTGCCAAATACCGCCTCCTCCAGAAGCATGTAAATAACCTTGTGAATTGCCATCCTGATTCGCCTTGTCAAGGTTCGTCCGCTGTTAGAACCGTACCGTATTGACCTCGTGTGACACCAATGTAGATTATTGTATTTGCTAAGTCATCATACTGCATGTAGTCATTATTGTACATTAACTTCATCATATCATTATTAAATGACAGTTACGAATTGTACATTACGCATCGCATCAGGCCAGTGTATCCTCACCATCATCCTGATACTCATCCTCGTTTCAGTGTTCATTGCTTATCAGATGATCTACGGTGCCTTGTCAGCAGCGGCGGCTGTCCTCAAATGCGTTCTGTTTGCAGTGCTACATTCCTCCCACACTGCACGCTATGCGTACAAGGCCGCTGGCCGGCCAACTTATGATGTGAGTTTGTTAAGCCGCTATTGGCTTATCATTTCTCAGTCGTTATCTTTCTGGCCCATGTTATCTTAGGCAATGGTGGCACCCATCGACGCTCAAACTTCACTCTGCAGACATATAGTTATCCAAGACCAGCCGCCTGACCGTGTTCCGCACATGTCTCATCTCGTTCGTAGTCACTTACACCATCAATGCTAAGGTAACTTGCTATTGTCATCGATTAATGTGGAAATCCAGCCAACCGCTGTGGATATGATCCCAGACACGGCCTAATGCACGGCTCTTCTGTTTCTTGCTACTTTGCTTTTCTTTTGTTTTGGTTTTTTTTTCAACAAACAAGCGATTGAAATCGAGTAGAAAATAATGTTTTATAGAAACGAACTGTACATGGTTTGGTTTTGACCATTGTTGGTCAACTCTCCAGATCGTCCTGATTGTTCCAGTACTGCTACATTTCCATTATGTGTGAGAAAATTGAGTGTAATTGTTCTTGAGAAGTTGTTTTCGCCTGAGTGCTGGATCGTTCGTTCAACGTTCATCATACCATGGCAGGATACTCATAGGGTGAATATCCCTTCACAAATATAATGGAGACCTTTTTCCCGAAGTCCACACTTATACTCTGTCAAAATTGTAGATTATCCTTGAAATCAGACCGTTGTTCTATCAACAAGTCATCAAATATGAGCAGAAATTTGCTCTTTCTTATTAATCAGGTTCCATGAAATAGATATACAAACAGCCAAAGATTCAATACGAATCAGTAGCCACCACATAGCTAATCACCACCTGATCAATTCCAGAGTTCATTCACTTCAAATGCAACACGTTCGACTCAGCGGTTGCTATCAGGTTTTGTTAAAAGCAACGATCTAATTTTCCTTGGAAAGCAGCGACTATCCCTGACGGTTTGCAACCGTCTTTCCTCGATTTCGTGCGTGTACAAAAACTACTTTCTAGAATTAGTGACGCAATGTCGTGTTGTGTCATATTTATGGAAATGGCTACTCTCCATTACCATTCAAGACTCTGCATTTATCTATGGTACTCAATGAAGTGGTTGCTGACACATAGCCAACGATAAACACAGGACATTAATGAACTGCACAAACAGACCAAATATGCCTTTCTATCCTCACTGAATGAACCAGAGGGTGAGACGCATGTGACGATGCATCTGTATTGACCATTATGAATCGTCTTTCGCATTTCCAACTTGGCTTGGTAGCACAATAAATCACTGATTTTTGGTGCGGAAGCTTAAGGAGAGTTGACTTCAGAAATATTCCAACCCCATGTGGCGGCTGATATAATACCGACTTCTGAAGTGTGCATCGCTACTATAAATGCAGATCAGCATATCGTAGTGGATGGCGTGAATCAACCAACATTACATTACATTACATTACATTACCAACATTACATTACCCCTGTATAAAAGCTTCCCGCTCAGTGAAGTTCCCCATTCCAGCGGCTCTCCCGCTAGCGGATTCGGCCCGATGAGACGACGAGCATCCACACAGCTACAACGACCAGCTGTCGGCCATCGACTCTTACCAACGCGGCTCTGAGGAAGGTGAAGGTGCCAAATCGCTACGCCGAATAAAGTTTATACCAACTTCGTGTATAAAAATCAATCAATAACCCAGGAAGTTATCGTGCTTTGTACGCTTATGCTGTTTACAGCACTTTTTGCCACATATGATTTGTACTTAGTTTGTCCTCCACATTGATCATTGTAGAAATATGTGATTGTATTTGACGAATTTATGTTCTTCTGGAACTTATCTATCGCTTCCATAAAAACGTCTCTAGCATTCTTCAGCGAATTTGTTTTCTAAGTTGTTCACAAGTTGCTAGGCCGGCGCCAGTAAATCTTCCATTTTTCTCTGTCGCGTGCAAGAGTAGCCCAGTGGGTTCTGCTCGCTCTAGGCAATCGTCGAGCATCACATCTTTCTTCTAAGCTCTTCGCGAAGAACTCTGACCATCGGGTCGGTGGTCTTCCTGCACTACGTTTGGCATC